ATGTTTTGTCCTTGCAGCTAGGTTGTCAGTGTTCTGAAGTTTGCATTTGTGCCTAGAGTCCTGAAGCAGAAAACCTGTAAGATGGCTGAGAACAAAAATATTACACATCTAGGCTAACTTGTGTTTTGTTAGCCTGGGCTGTTTGTTTGTGCAAACTGCTCACTTTTTTCAAGTGCAAGTGCTCTTGTGTAGCTACATGCTCTTGTGTAGCTATAGAAATAGACATGGAGCCCCAGAGCTGTGTCCCATCACTATCACTCATATACTTCTGATGTATGACTTTGTTGTTTAGAATTCTGCTCTGCAACATGGATGGTGGGGGGGGGCATAGTATACAATTGTCCCTTCACTCAAATGCATGTGTCTTTAATTGCATATGCTGATTGGAAAGCCAAGATGGATAGCTCAGAGAACACAGGATACTGCTTATGCTGGCTACTTATCTGTTCTTTTCTCCATACTCCCAACTCAATCCACTTTCTTCCTGGGACAAGTATAAAGCTTCTACAAGACCAAGACAGTACCAGCATAGTTCTAAATCTATGCCTCCCACCCAATGTTGCTGAACTAGAACTCACAGAATCCCTCACAATTTACCATGCTTCTATGAATTCATCCAACTTCTCTTTAAGTTACCTCTAGTCATACACTTTGGATTTATTTGGCTCATGGGGATTTAGTTGTCATCCCAATCCTAATTGCATAAACCAGGGAAAGAATGGCAACAGAACAAACAGTGGATAGAACACTGCCTTAACAGTTATATTCAGTGATCAAGGCAGATGTAGAGCTTATCAGACATAGTGGGGTGGGGGTGTGTGATCAAAGACATTTTGTCCTGGAGCAAAGGGCAAGTTGATGACTCACACCTCAGTCCCTGTATTAAAGGTGACTGAACTGGCAGTTGAATCACCTTCAACGCTAGTAACAGTATAGCATCATCCACCACACTGAGGCATCAAGTTCATTTACTGTAATTGTGGTGGAACACACTGCTCTGACATCCAACCAAGGGAAACCACTGGTAAGTCTGTAAGTACAGTCAACCCTTCACTGATTTTTTTATTCACAGATTCAAGCATCCATGGCTCGAAAATATTTTAAAATTATATAAATTCCAAAAAGCAAACATAGACTTTGCCATTTTATATAAGGGGCACCATTTTACTACTCCATTGTATTTAATGGGACTTGAGCAATCACAGATTTGTACCCATGGTGGGTCCTGGAACCAAACCCGAGTGGACAGCAGGGGCCCACTGTAATAGATAGATATCTGCCACCATCAGTCCATAGTACTTGTTGCCTGAGGTGGTTCATTCTTCCTTATGAAAAAGGGCATAAACAAATGGGCAGTTACCACGGGCCAGCCCCATGGTATCCTGCTTGCAGTTTCACCCAAGTCAGCCCCTTGGCCAGCATGGTAACAGGCGGGTGTTCACACACCTTTCCACTGCTGTGCGATGGAGCTACCACCACACAGCCCATCATCATCACATCCGCTCTGAAGGCCCCGACACAGTCTGTAAGGGTGGAAACAAGGCAACCTGTGGCCACGCACCCATATCTGACATCATAGGCAGAGAGAATGAAATGGTGGCAGCAGGCAAGGGGCACATAGGGCTGTCCGGTCTACTAACTCTCATGATGGAGTTTCAGAGAAATTCCACTGGAAACAGCCGGTATTTTTTGATTGTATTAAGGGCCTTTTGAGCTGGGATCAGGCTGGATTCACCAGATCCATGTCAGGTCTGCCTGATCCCAGCCTGGGATGATGCCAGACGAGGGGGAACATAGCCCTTCTGGCCCATGAGTCTTTCCTATCATCTGCTACCTGATCTGTTTAGAAGTGTTAAGGATCAAACTAGAAACCTTCATCATGCAAAAGAGATGTCTTACCACTGTGAGAGTTTCCTCCTCTATACAGGACATGGTGACTCTGTTAGTCTTGACAAACCTATTCTTGATTGTGCCTTTAATCTTAAATCACACATTCTTGGGTACCAACTGAAGCCAACAAGATGAGGGAGATATATTTCCCTTCTGAACTGTCCACAATTCCGCACTACAACCTTATAGTGCTGCTATCCCACTATTAGTGCTCTGGCTGCCTCCTGTTGCATTCTGGGATTTGTAGTTGAGGGGGGCATTTAGAACTCAACCAGAGAGCTGTTGGCCTCACTGAACTACAAGCCTCAGAGTGCAACAGGGAGCAGACAGGGCAGTAATTGTGGAATAGCAGCACTATAAGAGTGTAGTGAGGAAATATGGTGTGTTGAAATGAGAAGAATGTGTTACATGAATTTCTCCATCTGTGGCATATTTCTGAATGTATTTCTTTTTCCTTATTTTTTTTTAAAAAGAAAGACCTCCCCCCCTTAAGTACCTTATATAGCCACTTGATGATGGTTAAGTTGAGCCAATGCTACATTAGATTACAGTGAAGGAGTCCAAGATCTACCAAAGAAACAGAGACGCATACAAGCACATTCTTAAAATACTTTGTTACTTTAGCAGAAAATCTGATTCCTTAAGTCTGACTATTATTTTCACATGATTGGGTTTTTCAAATACACACATATAATGTATATTATGTATTTGCATTTGGCATTTCAGACTGTCAAAAGACAGGTATAATTCTATCATACCTATTTCTTTCAGAGAAAATTCCTTCCCTAAACAATGGTATCCATTTTCACTTCACCTGTATCAATTTAGTGCATTCCTTGGAGCATTTTATGCAAAAGCAAAGCCTCTTGTGAGGAAGTGGATAGCGGGTGGGATTTAGAGACAGGAAATCCAAGCAAGGACCCTCCTGTTTTTGGTGGAGACAATTATAGTGTTGCTTTTGGTTAGAGATCAGGATTTCTATTGAATACAAATGTTCTTAGCGATAGATGTTGAAATGGAACACTTTACAGAAATCTGCTAAGTTTGGGAGATGAAACTTGCATACTGTAATGTTAGCAGCTTTGCAGTTTAGGGAAGTTTGTATCAACAGTGTGTTATCAATTTTGTAAAGCAGTCTGTTCTTTCATTAAACATTCATTATGGTAAAATACTTTCACAAATGTCTTTTCCTCCTTTTAACTGTTATTACATGCCTACTCTTTAGCTCTGCTGCAGTGTTATTTTGGGAAGAAAAAGCACTACTTGTATATGGCATGGGGCTCAGCTCTGCATTCCCCCCCCACTTATTTGCTTATACATCTTCTCAAAATAGCCTTCCTTGAATTGTCACTTTCCAAATGTGCTCGATTACAGAGTCCATCTTCTCCATTGGTAATGGGACTTGTAGTCTGAGGATGTCATGTTTTGGAACACTGATTCAATTAGTCTCTATGTACAAAATAATAATTATGTTCAAGCAATTGCCTCATCAGTGATGTTTCACTTACGAGTATGATGGGATTGTAGCGTGATCGGGAGCTTATTGAGGGGTTTCCCCCATCAATGAAAAGGGATACCCTAACCACACACTTTGGAGACACAGCAGCTACAGGTGGGAAGTGATGTTGTGTGATAAGTATTGCCAAAGCACTATTTTATTAAAATAATCACAATTTAAAAGTCATGTATTATAGTCTCCTTGGTCTTATGGGAAGTGAAATAAGTTAAATATTCCAGCACCATAACAAGTGTGTCCATCCCGGTTTAACTGAGTCCAAGGAAGGAAAGAGCTTTCAACTTAACGAATTCCAAATCTCTCCCAATTTACCTTTAAAAGACCACAACAATGTCCCTATTAGATCCTTACTGTTACTGCCATAAAGATTTCTGCTACTACACCAAGGAGGAATCCAAAGGTGGGCCTTCCTCTCTAACCAGGGACAAAGAGAACCACTATATTCTATACAGGCTCTGGTATGCCCTCCCATAGCTTATAGATCATTTCCTAACCCCCCTTTTCATTTATGCAAAGGGGATTTCCAACTTCACTGTCTATGTGCACCTTCCCCCTCCTCACCAGTATCCCACAATTCCCAGCTGAGGAAAAGGGGAGCAGAAAAGCTATATTTCTTGAACATGAACTAGAATTCACAGAAGGTGGGGTAAGAACCAAGCCAATATCATCAATACACTTGTCCTTCCACATTTGCAGCTTTGACTTTTGTGGATATGATTAATATGTTCTCTCTATGAATATCTAGGTCCTCCAGCACAACTCTATGGTCAACATTAACCAAAAGTCACACTGAAGGACCTAGAGATTCTTAGAGAGAACACTCCCCCAGAAATTTGTATCTCCTCCAGTACAATTCTATGGTCAATGTTTGGCAGATGTTGACCACAGAGTTGCACTGGAGGACCTAGAGATTCCTAGAGAGGTGTTCTCTCAGGTAAAAACATAGTGTTTTTGTTATTTGTGGTTTTTCCACATTCATGGGGATCCTGTGCCCTAA